TTGGCTGCGTAACCGGTGAGTTATTCCTCATTTTTCCTCTATGGTGCTTTAAAAGGTTGTGTCCCATGCTAATTTCTTACTCTCCTGTGCAGTTTATACTTTTCCGAAGTTATACTTTGTCGCTGTACTTTTTAATCAACCAGTCTTAACTACATACCTAAAACAATGCAACCTTAAAAGACCACAAAAGTAATATGCAGTTCTGCAAATTGTATGGTGCATATGTTTTTCCAATAAGCCAAAGTTTTTAAATATAAACTAATTAAAAGGAACACAAATATATCCAGCTAAGTGAGGTTATTTTAAAATCGTTCTGTTGCTGAAGTGTGACCTGTACTGGTGAGTAGTAGTTTTCATTCCTGTCTGTAATAAAGGGTATTAATTGACACAATTCCTTGGTAGTTGTGATTGAAAATTGGATTCATCTTCAATGTTAAAAGAGAAGTGAGACTAATATAAAAATAGTATTTGTTTTCAAACCAACACAAAAGTGTTGATTCTTTAATTAAAAAAATCAAACCTTATTAGACAATGGGAAAAAAGAATCTGATAGCTTATAATAAGATACTAACCAAATTCAGGGGGAAAAACAAAGAACTCACAATTCAATCGTAATGTGTCCTCTAGTGAGATGATATTCTTTCACTTGTCGTGTGTATGCCACTAACACTGTCATGGCTGCAAACACGTCCATTGTTATGTATTCCCTGCCAAATTATAGCTCAGATCATTTAGCCACCAAAGTGTTCTAAACCTTGAACAAAGCTCACTGTGAATGAAATAACTATTACATGGGGACCCATATACAAACACCTACCACTGCATTTTTTTTCTTTTTATTAATAAACCAGAGTGCAGTAACATAAATTATGCACTTTCATTAATGAAGGGTATATAGAAGCAAAATCCAAAATCTGAGCAAGAGTTCTCGTAGAAACCAATTCTGAGTTCCAAAACCTATAAACATGTGGTATCTTAAAACAAAGTTAAAAGCTATGGTTACTATTAATAGGAAGGACATCTAAATAAATTAACAGTTGTAAAAATGGCAATATGTCATGTGGTATACTATAATTATTAATGGAATAAGGTATAGTGAATGGTCAAATGTGTGCCTGAAGTCAGTACATGGGGGCAAGTATAATACATGGAAAGGAAGGATAGAATATGGAATGTACTTTTCTAATTAAGGTAAATTATTTTATTCAGTATTACACTAGGCCTTTCTTAAACCATACT